CCCCAAAACCCCAAAACCCCAAAACCCCGGAGGAGATCCATCAGATTGAGAGGTTTCAAATTTTGACTGGGATTAGGGGGATTTTGGAGGTGTGTAGTTTTCGTGGGGGATGGAGGGATTGGAGATTGTTGAGGAGTTGTGTAGTTCTTTGTCGTTGAAACTGGAGGAGAAGGTTTCGTTGAGGTCGCCTGAGTCACGTGGGCGGTTCTGTGGTGTTTTAGTGAGGGTTGATTGAGAAGGACTACTGGTTGAAGGAGTGTTATGAAGGGATTTGATGCTTTGGTAGTAGTGGTCTATTACTATTTTCATGCTCAGCATCATTGCAGAGATAGGAAGGAGGTCATTGAATGTGTAAAAGAATACAATAAACGCAGGGTATCTAAAATCATTATTTTTCAGAGACTTCTTCGAAAAACCAGCATTGCCTGTAAAATTGCGTATTAAATTCTCAACCCCTCTCATATAAATCGGAATTGATATGAAAAATACACTAAAAAATATCCTCTTTTTCATCTCTTTCGCCTTAGTTGCTGAAAATCTCTTCAGTCACACATAATAATAAACCCCCACTAACACATAGGCAGTCGACACTACAAAATGTGCGGCTGTCAAAATCCAGAAGTATAGCTTATGGGCTTTGGTCGGGTTCAATCTGTCCACGCATGAAGTCAGGATTATAGGTACTAGTAAACCCAGGATTAGCAGCTGGGTTATCAGTAGTACTATATTTGCAAACTTTCTTCTGAAGTTTGTAGCTCTATTCAAGTACTGCCTAATCTCCTGAATCTGAAAAATCCAGTTAAAGAAGCTGAACACTATCGCAGACATCATTAAGAAGCGTGGCATGGCGAATATGACTGCGCCTAGGCACAAGTCCTCAGGAAAGTTCGTTCATTCTGAACTGGGCCTAAAATAGATGAGATTTCGAGAGAAAGGAAGGTCTGAATGGGGCTTTTAAAGGATCAAGGAGAATTACTTGTTGATATTTTGGGTGAACTGAATAATCATCTGAGCCATTGTCGCCATTACTGATAGATTTGCTGTGCATAAGAACATCAGTATTCATTTATACTCCACTCCATAAATCCTGACAAACTTATAGGTATATCTCAAAAACATGGCTAACACCATCACAGTCAAAAAACCCAGTATCCCTAAAGCTCCTAAATAAATACTACATCTGTGCTCGTTTTCACTATAATGAATGTCCATACTATACGTAAATATTATAATTCAATTTTTTCTTTATTTCTTGGGGTTTTGGGGTTTTGGGGTTTTGGGGTTTTGGGG